CTTAGCCAAAGGCACTGCGCTCACTTCTTGCAGACTATATTTGGTGTGCCATATCCACGCCGGCAATGTGAAATGTTGCCATCACATCTCCAAATCATGAACATATATATTCTTTGCACCTCATTTACCGATACATGTACACTGTTCTTGGCAAGAATTTCCACTCTGAAGAGATCTGCCCATGCATGTAATTCATCAAGTGCATAAAAACTACATGTAGAAAGCAGAAACTGTCACAAGCAAAATGAAAACACCAACTGTGATTGTCCCTCCAAAAAGTAAGAACAATTTATAAACGACACTCCAAAACCCAGGGACCAGAATGACAGATGTACATGTATATTCATCTGCAGTGACGGTCAAAACTGTGTTCAGGAAAAAAAATGAAAGGAATGAAGAAACTGCTGTGACTAAACGATCCATACATCCAGTGGCTGAATGCAAATCAATTCAGGATTCACTGCCTAGCATTGCAAAACAGGCACATCCCCTTTTTAAAAGCACGAGACAATCCATCCCCCAACGCACACACGTACACACAACGAATAAAAGAAAAAATATGGCAAGACTTAACTCAATTTCCTTCCTTCCTGAATAGGAACTCTGAGATAAGAAATATTAATTTCAAAAATAGAAATAGGGAAACTGTGAATGAACTTTTTTTTTAACGGGTGACTGTATAAACTCAGGATGTTCCTGGTTTGCTTTGTACACTATCTGGTCCCTCATGGTCAAGGGGTGAAAATTAAAGAGGCTACATCTATATCTTCAATTTTAACTTAAAGGGCTGATGAAATATCAAACACAACATTGGATAAGAGCATTTAGTGAGATTAATTTTATCCTCATTCAAATTTGCGTATTCACAGGATAAGCTGAAGTGTAATGGCATCCAAGGCAGAAGACTCAGCATGGCAGCTTCAGGTACTGTACATGTACCTGAGTATTTTTCACAGAATTCGCGATATTTTGCCGTGGAAACTTTCATTACTTTGCTGACTCCCTGTTTAAGAAAGTACTCCAACACGTATTTCATGAACCTATCTGGGATGTACAATTTGAACAAAAGAGCCCCTTGAAACTTATGCTGCCTTCCTGTAATGACATCACAGTACATAACTTCATGATGACAGTCACTCACGTGTACATGTATGCTATGGGGAGTGGCATACATGTAACTATGGCAAAATGCACAGGAAGGGGGCACCTGGGGGTGAACACTATTTTCCCAAGGGGGCACCACAAGAAAATAAGCTGCACCTGCATTCCAACGGAGATTAAGAGGGGGGAGGTACGGCATTTGCTTGAGGGGGGGCACTTACCCCTCCCGTGGGCCCCCACTGAGATTACGTACAAATTTCAAATGGAAGGGGTGCATGGGAGGACAGACACAGTTGCTGGGGGGGACATGTGCCCTCCCTCTCCCTGTAGTTACACCCTGGCTGTGGGCACTTCCATAGCATTAGCATTTTGCCAACTAGTCATCACAAAAAGTTAAACCTTAAAAATTAACCACTGAAGTGACTAAATGAGTGCTTCAAAATGCTTTGAAACCGGGCTTAGCATCATACATACATGTACTGGAACACGTACATGTACGTGTACAGTAGATAGACACG